TTTAATAGATTAAAAAGAGGAGAAATCAGAGGGAGATCTGTGGAGACAAATTTATAAACACACCTGAGTCCAGGTTAGCTGATCAGTCAGACTGTAGAGGAAATCTGTCCATCTATCCAGGAAACAAGATGTCCATCTTGAGAGACATATGAGAGATATAATTAGGTCAAATCATCCTACAGGAAAATAAACATAAACGATTTTAATGTCTTAAATAAATGCCTGTAGTCGACCTTACTGCTATAATTCATCAGGATTTACAGAGAAATATGGCTGAATATCATCAGCAGGTCAACACAGCTATACTCATCAAAGGAAAATATTAAAAAGTTTCTTTATTTCATTAACTCCATCACTACTAAACACATTTTATAGATTAAATCCACTCAAGCGGATGTTTTCAAGCATTTATTTCTTTAAGTTGTGATTTTTGTTGTGAACATTTTACAGCACATCATAATATTACATCAGACCAATACAGATATTTTGTTACAGCAATGTGTTATGAAAAGTATTTTTAATAACTACTTAAAGACTGATAATTATTTAAAAAAAAATGTAATTTAATAAGACAAACAGGGGTCAGTGGAAGGCACTGTAAGCTTTCAGAACAGAAGACCCAGACAAACAGTGGAAAAACTGAAAAACTTTATTCAACAAACGGGCTGTGAATTTGCCGTATCAGCGTCTTGGGCATCTATAACAGGAACGTCTAAGAGAGAAACACAGCTTAGTGACCACGATAATCTGATGGAGGTTGATTATGAACGCGTGAGTTAGTAACCTGGTCTGTCAGTTCAGTCTGTGCCCAGAGAACGAGGATGATTCCAGCCGGTCGGCTGACAGGACGCAGCGGACGCTGCCAGAGAGTTACAGACGCGGAAGCCTTGAAGGCTGCAAAACTGAGAGGAGATCAGATCCGAGCTGACGAAGGAAGGCAGGATAATCCACAGGGCGAAGTCAAGAGACAGATCCAGGTTCCGTCTACAGAAGAATCCCATAGGAGTCCGAAGACAGGTCAGGCAAACAGATCAGACAGGGGCAGGCAGGCTCAAAGGCCCAAATAGAGAAATGGATCAGGATCAGGCAATCAGAACACTATAGAAATGCTAGAGAACTCTCAACACCAAAGGCTCAAGAAAAATCTGGCTCTGATGGCTGGGAAACAGGCATCTTAAATAGGAGCTGGAACAGGTGGATCAGATGAGCAGTGATTAGAAAACAGGGCAGAGCTAGACAGGTGAATAAAATGACCAATCAAGCCAGCCATCAGCTCCAAAATCATGACAGGAACTGTTTTGCATTTTTATTCTCAAAAGTTTTTACCTTTTAAAACTACTCAATGAACATTGGTATATAAAACTTTAAAAAATCAACAAAGCAGCACTTCTGGGGCACTTAACCCAATCTAGACAACAGCTAAACCCTGAGGTCTGGCAGACTTCTGGCACTATAACCTGCAAACAAAATATATTTTTCTGTTCCAGCCCGCCTGGAATGACCTTCCACAGCGTATTAGGAACATCCTCACACAAACACTTTCTAAGAAATGTGTTGGACAGCTGCTATTGCAACTACCGGCTGCCTCTTTATCATTTCCTATAGTGTATACCTGTGTGACTGCTGTTTTACACTGAAGCTATGGCGTATGTTTGTGCTTCATGTTCTGCAGAGCAGGAACCTGCTAAAGACAGTATGACATACTGATTCAGAAACTTTTAATGCAAACTTTGCCCGTGATTAAAAACTTAAATGAATAAAAAACAATCATAATGGTGTATTTTTGTCTCCCGTAGCTGAAGGTTTCAAACTGAGATTCTGGCTCCATCCTGATGATTTGTAAAAGCATCTTGAGATTATTTAATGATAATTCTGCTCTAATAACAATTAGATTTATTTCAGAGTAAAACCAACCAAATGAATGTTTCATTCTGGATCAGAACCTGCAGATTACATTCTGGATCCTTCATTTAGGGCCTCTGTGGCTCCATTTTTCAGCTGATGTACCAGGTGGTTGCAGCAGGCAGCTCACCTGCAGGGCCGTGGAGATGCTGAAGGAGACTCTCCATGAGGCGCTCAGCTGCTCAGCAGGCTCCCTGCGGCAGCAGCAACATGTTGGCCTTCAGCAGCAACAGCGGTGGTGGCTCAGCTGGATGCAGCAACAATGTGCCCTGATCAAAGTCGACGCGACAGCAGCCGTATGTGACGTCACTGCGGATCCTAGCTGTGATCCGTCCAGCTGCCGCAGGACGTCAGCGGGTCCGGCCTCGATGCCAAGGGTCCGGGCTGGCTCGATGTTCCGGTTCTGGTGTCGGTCGTGGATGTTATTGCTCCGTTAACGTCGCGCTCCCGGAGCAGCTCGCGGTGACTCACCATCCCTCCAGTGCGGCGCGCGACCAGCGGCGGGAACTCTGTTACCATGGTAACTGTTCAGAAGCTGGAGGACGGGAGAGCCAGAGATGTCCTCTGCTTCAGGGGCGGATTTAGGAAATCTGGGGCCCTAGGCAAAGACACGCATGGGGCCCTCTGAACTGTGAAGACAACACATAAAACAGACCCATTATACAGATACAGACATTTTAATAGAATAGACATACATCATTTGTTCTACCTTTTGTCCCTTTTCTTGTTATTTTTCTCTCTATGTTTTCTTTTGACCCTTTTTATATTGGCATAGTACTCAGGTGAATTTCAATGCTGTCTTAAAAGGAATCAAAGGCTACGTTCCCGCTGCAGGCCTTGATGTTCAATTCCAATTTCTTTGCAAAATCCGATTTTTTTGCGTTGCCGTTCACGTTTCCAAATATATGCGACTTGTATGTGATCTCCTTTCTGAACTGCATTCATACAGGTTAAGTGTCCTGCATGCACAGTAGAGGACGCAATGACGTCACAAGCCAGCATGCTTCATGTTTACGGAAGTAAACATGGATGTAGTGCTGGAGCGCATCTAGCGATCTTTCCAAACCTTAAAACCATAATCTTTTCAAGATGGTTAAAAAAAAATACTGCTCCCCACATCATCGTGCACCATGGTTGTTGTTTTTCTTGCCACTTCTTTATAGCAAGACCCAGAATAGTGGCCTATGTTGGTTACTAATGGCGTTCAGGTCGGATAGATGTGACCTGGCCATTCAGACACAGTTCAGACACAGTTTGCATTTAAAAAGATCCGATTCGTAGCGGATCCAGGGCCACAGAGCCAAGTGGACTGGGTCGGATTGGATAAAATCACATCTGTGTTGTTCAGACAGCCGTGAAAAGATCAGATCCAGGTCGCATGTGGGCAAAGAAAAATTGGATTTGGGTCACTTCAGGCTGCAGTGTGAATGTAGCCAAAGATTTTCCAATCCCTAAGCTCATTCTAACTTAACTGATTGCTCCTTCCTGTGTTTGCAAAAAGGCGACGGCAAGATTAAAATGTAAACAGAGTCCGTCTTTTCACTGTAGACAAGCCATGATTAATAGCTGCAGGAATCATGACAGTAGACAAGATAAAGGAGAGGAGGAAAGGGGCTTACAAATCTACTTGCTCTGGAGAGCAGAGTTCACTGCTTTAATATGTTGTTGCCAAAGTCTCCAGTAGTAGAAAAAATTTGATAGATTTGGCGCAAGGCGCTTTTTTTAAATATAGAAGTGCTGGAGGGTTCTGAAAAGTAAATATAGCGACAAAAGCGTTAAGTTGGCAACACTGCTCTTCGCATTGTTTGTTTTCAAAGAATTTGCTGCTTTTTTTGGACATTTCTGAACATGTGCAGCAAATGGACCGATCCAATGTGGTGGACACTGAAGGGGGGGTAGCCTAGTAAACTAGCCCCACCAAAATCTAAAAAAAACGGTGTTCCCCTTTAAGCTCTCCAAAAGTCATTGCTGAAATCAGTCCTGTATGGTAATTTATGTTCTTTTTCCAGCTTTGTAAACTGTATCCATTTATTACATTTTTTGTAAAATATTTTTTCTCTGTTAGCCTTTGCCTACAAGTTTGTATGTTTTTTACAAGGGAAAATTACACAACTTAAATGCTTTAAAGTGTTTTTAATTATGTTTTTGTTGATTCTGTATGAGAGATTTATTTATGCATTTCAGTGAAGAGGTCCAGCATCACCACGCTGCCTATAGAAATGTTTACCTCCATTGTTCCTGCATGTATGATGCATATTTGATGCATTTTTTGTCACCCAACTTTGGGTGACTTTAATCTCTCCATCAGGCCATCTTGATAGCTGCACAGTCTTTTTTTTTGTAAACAGGTTTTTTTGTATATTGTACAGTCTATTCTATTTTTTTCAGCATTTGATTCATATCTTCCGATCTGCCACACCTAAATTTATCCCGTTGGACAAAAAAGGATATATTTTCATTCTATAAGGTTCTATTATTGAAACACTTATATTCCATTAGCACTGACATGATCAACATATATGGCAGCAAATATGGCCTTTTGCATTATTACAGCTTGACTTTCCTCTTTTTTATTTAAAAAAGCACTGACCTGCAGAATTTTGCATCATGCTGTATCCTTGTTTGTTTCTTGTGCAATTTATCCCTTTGAGTGTTTTTCTTTATACTCCTGTTTGTTTGTACAGTTGATTATGGTTGGAGTCTATTTCCTTGTTTCTTCACTCAAACTTTTCCATTAAAGTTTATTCTGATTCTGAAATTGTATTAATACTACATAAATAAATCTTAACGTAACGTTGATTTAATCCTTCAAAAGGGTTTAAATTGACAGTTTTTGTAGGTAATGTGATGGACATGGGTGCGATATTAATGTTTGACTAAAAATATAACAGGTATCATTACTCCAAAGTCAGTTTGGTTCTATTAGATTCTAATTTAGGAAATAATTAATATATTGCATATATGTCCGTATGAAACAGTTAACTTTATTAAAAACGTATGTTGCTGTTTAATTTTGACCCCAGGGGGACCGTATTTGGGTCTGAAATGTTTTCGTTTTAAACGCTCTGATCATGTAGGAACTTTTTAACTGTCACCGTTTCCAGTCGGAAGCTCTTGCTTGTTACGTTACTTCCTGTTCTTTACAATAAAGGCCCGGCGAATCCGCGGGTCCATTTTTTGGAATTTGGTTTGGTGAATCCGCTGTGAATCGGACCCATCAGAACCGCAGACATGGTGAGTTTTTCTGGACCTTGTTCCTATGAGTCAATTCTTCTCAGATTGATCAGAATTTTTACTTTTTAACACTTTGCTGCAAAGATGGCGGCTGTTTGGAGAGACGTTGGCGGGACGTTGCAGGAGAGCTCCGAATGAATCAAAACTGAACTATTTACCTGGAAATTTGACCTAAAATATAAATGGCTCAACTAATTAGACCTGTTTTGATTCATAAACCCATGTACACATTTTGCCTTCTGTAGTTACCCGTGGTTCTTTGTAGTGGGGCCTGTATTGGTTCCAGTAGTAGGTTAGCTCAGGCTGCTGCTGGCGTTTCGGGGTCGGAAGATTCAGTTGGGTCCGAAATTATATTTACCGGTAATAAATGATATAAAACAGACGGGGACGGGTTCGTGTAAGACATGCATTTTAATCTCTGGTACCAGGCTCTGAAAGTGAAACAATGGAACACATAGGGTTCTGAGATAACTGGATCTGTTGGGTTTCTTACGCTGAACCAGTAGAGAATTGTTCTGGTCCTGTCCAGCTTTGTTACAGATGCTCCAGTTCTTTATTGCGTGAATGATCCTGAACTGATCCTACATTGCATGATTCTTACGGGGGTTCTGGATCAGAGCACACGAGGAAAGGGTTTATCTAGAACAGGGGAAGACAACTCCAGTCCCAGAAGGCCTGTATCCTGCAACTTTTGGAGATGTCCTTGACTTAACACACCTGAATCAATTGATTGCATACTAGGGAGGCAATTCAACCATTTGATTCAGGTGTGTCGGATCAAAGATGAATCATGTTGCAGGAAACCAGCCCTCAAGGGTTGCCCACCACTGATCTAGAACCTCTGGTCAAGAGTCCGCATCGCATCCATGTTTGCAGCCGATTCAACACTTTATGGGTGAAAGCAGAAATAAAATATAAATCCAAAAACAAAAGACACTGTGAGGTTCTAAAGAAGTTCTGCTGCATTACTCGTCTGAGTGAGGAAGCTGTAGGAAATCCATGAGGATTTGTAACAATAGTTCCTTAATTTTAGGAGTATATTGTAGTTGTGTCACTTGAAACAGGCCGTGGTTCTGAGTTCTGCTGGCTCTGTTCAGGTCCAGTAAAAGAAAAAAAATTCTTTACACAAATAAGACATCATGGATCAGTTTGATGAGAACAAAGTTTAGGACCTCATTAAACCTCAGCAGGGAACTGCTGGTTCCAAATCACTTGGATATCTGAACTTGCTTTTCTGGGTCAGGGTTTCAGGTGAGTTTGGTGAAGGTTCTGATCCATAAGGGTGGGAATAGGAAGAAACTGAAGGTCCGCTCCTATAAGGCCTTGGAACGGCATCGTAACATCACCTTTACAGATTACCTCCAAATGCTTTGATGTAATAATAATGTCACACCATCTCTGATTGTTTCTCAGACGGTGGGAAAGAGCAGCAAGATGCTGCAGCACATAGACTTCAGGATGAGGTGCATCCTGCAGGATGGTCGGATCTTCATTGGAACCTTCAAGGCCTTCGACAAACACATGAACCTGATCCTGTGTGACTGCGACGAGTTCCGCAAGATCAAGTAGGTCCAAGTTCTGCTCCTCTTGGGTGTCTGTCCACTTGATAATCAGAGCCCACAAAGTTTAATTCCTGATGCACTAAAGAACTGCCAAAAAAAGAAACGGGTTGATTAAACCGAACATCAAATAAACCAGAACTTGTGAAGCTATGATCATGTGAATCATTGTGGTAATAGATTCTAAAGCTGAGCATTAAATTATGGACTCTAAGAAGATTCATAAAGTTTGGGAAAACTGCTCAGACTGGAACTCCTCCAGTAAAAGTTCTGTTTTAATCACAATTAAAAGGAGGAGCAAATGTCTAAACCTCCTAAAATACTCTTTAAAACTTTATATAATTATGTTTATTTACTTCACTGCTAGACCAACTGATGAATAAACTGGCTAAAAAGCTAAAGCTCAGAAGATTCTTGAGGCTCCAAAGTATCTCTAGACTCTAGAGTTTGCATTGATGTACTGAACCCTTTCTTGTATTGGGTCAGCCTGACGCTCTTGTCTTGTTGGAAACGTTCTGGTTGGACCGTCCCTTCATATATTTTCTCTAATGTTGATCGGCATCCCTGAAGGTCCAACTGCATATTTATGGGTCTGCTACTACATGACAGTATCGTCAACATTAATGGTGGATCGTTTATTGTGATAAATTTCTAGTCATAACAAGTTGGGTTTGATCATCCAAACTATTTTCTTTAATGTTTTCCTGTTTACAAATTTGAAGAATGTGGTTTATATCCTATAAAGAACAATGAAGTGTTTTTTATTAATTTTAATTATATTAGATTAAGATTTTATGGCCACATTGCTGAGTTCTACTGACCGGGTCATGAGCATCACTCTGTAGAACTTGGGAACAAGCTTAGGATCCCAGCTTGAGCTGCTGGTTCCGTCAGTGTTGGCATCATTTATAATGATGATTTTTAAACTAAAGTCTAATTGGTACCAATTGATTTTTCATGAGGTCTGTCATTGATAGCAGAACTTTAGCTTTTAACATTCCAGCATCTCTGGGAATATAATGCCCATTTCCAGTGCCCATTTGGCTAAAAACAAAAAACACAAAAAAGAATTGGCTTTTGGTGGCAGTTGGAACAGCTCTCTGACCTGTGTCAAATTACTCGACAAGTGACCCGGGTTAAAATCGACTTCAAATAGCTGTGCTCTGATCAGGATGCTGTGGGAACATCAGAGTCGGGCTGAACCGCTAATTTACTTGACTCCATTAAGCGCAATGTACAGATGTCAATGCACGACTGTCAGTTGCCAGTGATCAAACGTGCCAAAATAACTCTGTTTATATTTGATTAATATGGCGCTGTTCCAGGGAAAGATTCAGAGGGACGAAAGAGCGAAACAAGAAATCAAAATTGCTACACCCTGGCTCCTTTCCATGTTGCTCTCCCTTGTTTTGTGCTAACCCAGCATGGTGTCACCAGACATGCAGTGGTGGGAGACAGAGGCCATAAAGCTTGCCAGCAGGGCGTCAAACTTCTTTTCTGGCCATTGGGAAGGGAGCCAAAATCTTGAGCCACGTTTGAAAAACCCGGATTAACCTGCTAATTTTAGTGGAAAAGTGACTTAATCCTCCTATCTGCTGGTAACGCGCTTTTAGAAACTGAGCAGTGAGAACATGTGAGCACGAATGAAGGATTCATCCAGAACCTGTATTTTAAAGCCAGAGCCGGTCAGATCAAAGTCCTTAAAGGACTCATGCTTTCAATTGTTAAAAACCTCATGGTGAAACCAAACCAAAACAAAGTAAATATGAAGAGGAAAAACAAAGGACTTTGCAAGGTTCTAAATCGGTTCTACTGCTGTAAAAATTTGGACACGAGTTTGATGCACGCATCTACTGGTAGTGAAACAAAATGCTAATATTGGCCTTAAATATCAGCCAGCAAACAAATGTCGGTTTCTAATTGTGACAGCTGATGCAGCTCTGTGCTGCTGCTCTGCTTTTTTATGTTTTTATTAAAAAAAAAGCACATATTGATGATTTCTGATAGTGTTCAATACAGGACATTAGCTCTGTTTACATGCACACATTTTCTCAATCGGATTGAAATTAATTTAAAATAGGATTATACTGTTTTTATGGATGTCATTAAATGAAATAAAATGGCTAAAAATGTATCATGGAAACACACAGATCAGAATATTCTGGTGTTTGAACCGTCCTGTTCTGATCATTTTACCTCCAGAACAAATCAAAATTTTCCCAACTCAACTTATTAAACATCGCCATCTAGATATCTAGTCATCAGTCTGAACCATCCAATTAGCTTTACATCATCTCCCTGTTCCCTGATAGTTGGCCCATTGTCTTTTTTTTTCCTCTCCTCTCTTCTGATGCTCTGTTGATGAATAAACTCTGACCCTGGTTCTGGCTCTTTAATGTCTGCCTTCTCAGTCTGCTCATACGGGTCCCTCTATAGTCAGGAACCGCTCAGTGAGGTCCGATATTAGTGTGAAGAAAAATGAAAGAAACCAAATCTAAGCTTTTCTGGTGAAGTAAGCTTGGCTTTTTTGGGTTCACGTTTCATCATCCTGTTTCTTTGAGCTCTGATTGGTCCAACGGTGGTGTGTTATTTTACAAAGTAAAGATGGATACTGGTACTTCTAATGTTGTTGCCTAAAAGCCTCCAGGCTGTTGGCTATGGCAAAAGCTTCAGGCTAATGGAAGGCTATGTTCCCATTGCCCTGATGCATGCTGGGTACTGACAGATTCTCTCCCTCAGGCCGAAGAACTCAAAACAACCAGAGCGTGAGGAGAAGAGAGTTCTAGGTTTGGTTCTGCTGAGGGGCGAGAACCTGGTCTCCATGACGGTAGAAGGCCCGCCCCCCAAAGACGTGAGTGTTTCCTGTCGACAGTCAGAACCCTTTCATTAGCTTCCTTTGTGCTAACCTGTGTGTTTTCCCTCAGACCGGGATCGCCCGGGTCCCCCTGGCAGGTGTGGCTGGAGGTCCTGGTGTGGGACGGGCGGCGGGTCGTGGGGTTCCTGCAGGAGCTCCGATGCCTCAGGCTCCTGCCGGTCTGGCAGGGCCGGTCAGAGGAGTGGGCGGGCCGTCACAGCAGGTAACCTTGGTGATGCAGCTGGAGAGAGTCCAGCGGTGGGTGTTGGAGTTCTGATCGTTTCTGTGTGTTTCAGGTGATGACCCCGCAGGGCAGAGGAGGGACTGTCGCCGTGGCGGCAGCAGGAGCCAGCATTGCAGGGGCACCCACACAGTACCCACCTGGGCGAGGGGCCCCACCCCCAATGGCCCGGGCCGCGCCTCCTCCAGGTAAGACTCCTCATTCATTACTGGTACATCTAGTGTTTGATGGGTCTGTAGAGCAGGCTGTTAAACGGTCCTCTGGTCCCCTGTAGGGATGATGGGTCCGCCTCCTGGCATGCGGCCCCCGATGGGTCCTCCAATGGGAATGCCTCCTGGTCCGGGTCGTGGTGCTCCGATGGGAATGCCCCCTCCAGGCATGAGGCCGCCGCCCCCTGGAATGAGAGGTAAGCTGAGCAGCCAAACAGATCACACTTGCTCATACCAATTACCTACTATAATCTGGTCATGTGACCTCTTCTGGTTTTCTAGGACCCCCTCCTCCGGGAATGAGACCTCCCCCCAGGCCCTGAAGAAGCTGACGTTCACCTGTTGTATAGATGTTCTTTTTTTTACTTTTTAATAAAGTGTTCTCTGTTTAAATTTGTCCAGACTGTTTGCTAGAGTCTCCTTGGTAACAAATTAGTTATAGATTCGGTCGAGTTTGACGGGGAGTGCCGTCTTTGCTTCTGTTCAGACTAGAGATCTGGATCTGCTGAACCAGAACCATTCTGTCTGTGGTTCCTCCAGCTGCTCTTGTCCAGTGATGACCTCCACAAACCACAGATTAAGTTTCTAATTCAGGGCTTCATTATGTTTGCATCCAAATGGCTCAGGTTCCATGACAGACTTAATTTGAGACTTAACGTTCTTTCATAATGATTCATACTTAAGCAGACAGTGCATGCTTGGATTCTCTGTGAATTGATCTAAGAACAATACCTGGAAAGGATAAGGAAAAACTGAAGCATTTTAATCTATTACACTTGTGCAAGCAGTTCCAAAATCCTAAACCATGCTGGTAATTATAAAATTGTCAAGTTTTTATTTTAAGCAATTGATTCTGTGGAACACATATTCATGTCCCCATGTTAGAAATGTGGAATTTGAACATTTATTCATTGGTGTATAGTAATATTAAACTGCCTTTTTCCTCTACATGTTAAAATTTTTACCTTAACAGAGCTACTGGCCATTGCTATTTAAATCTCGGCCATTAAAGGGTAGGAAATGAATAACCAGAAAGTAAACGAATCAATATGAAGACAATAAAACACGTCTTTGTCAGGAAAATAGTGGATTTAAAGGTAATTCAGAAATTTTCCCAGGCCTTGGGTCTGGGGTTGAGCTACTTTATCCAGACATGTCCTGATTTGTAAATGTGATAAATATTTTTGTTTTACTTTATTTGGAGAAATTATAGAACAGTGAAAACTAGATGTCTCTAGTCCCTATCAAAGTTCTTAAAAAATAAAAAATACATAGTTCAAATGCAAATATATGTATAATATATTTAGTTGTGTATATAAAAATATTTTTACTTTCCTGACTTACTGTTGACAGTGCTATAATATAATTTACTGCTTTTGTTTGAAAGGTGCCCGATTTAGTTTCTTATGCAGACAATTGTATTTCACAACCATGGAAGGTATTGAGTTACTGAAATGTGATTTGTAAAGTATCCACTGTTTTAACTACTCTCCTTTCATCAGCAGGGTTTGTTGCGGTCAGTGGAAAATCTTGTCTAAACAAAACTAGAACTTCCCAGTATTGAATATAAATTATATTAAGTTGATAGAAGATCTATAATCTGGTTAAATATGTGCTTATTGGACAAAATATTGCACCATTCTTAATTTGGAGGAATTTGAAAAGTATGGAATTGGTTGTTCCAATGCAAATTACAAGAAAGTAGAAGTAGGCATCCGTAACATCCTCATTCAGTCAGTTAAAAACTTTTCCTAACATCACAGCACCAAGTTAGCACATATTATAGTATTTAATAGATCTGTACCTATAGAAAGAAAAAAAAAATCTTAAATTTGGCCCCCCAACAGTTCCCTCTAAAGAACCACATTATAAAGTGATTTCCTCAAATGAGTTCTTGAGGGAAATGTATAAATTTAGTGAAATTCTGTGAAACAAAAATCACCTGTTTAATAACTGTAAAAGTTCACAATTCCTGTAGGTAACTCATAACCTTTTGTTCTCTATGCCATTATGTGCAGTTTTTTTTCTTTAATTCAAAATATTCAGTTCCTTAAAGAATATATTTCCAGTCAATACCTCAAACTCAATACCTCAAAAAACCCGAAATAACATTACAAGGAAATTGTACTTTATAAAGATTTCCAGTTATTAATCTAATAAAATAGCTGTTTTTTATTATGCTTTTGTTTACTTTAGTTATGGTTTAAGTTTGGCTTTGAAAGGTGTTAATTAAATGTAAGATGTGCATTTTTCTCTCATATTGGTTCCAGATTGTTTGATAACTAGTTTGTCATTTGCTTATCAATTCAAAACAAGCCTATACAAAATTGAGAAGTTAACAGATTTTTACATTTTATTACTTATATAATATAAGAAAAAAGTCAGAATTCTGACTTTAATCCCAATTATTTCTGAAGGCATGAAGTTCAACTCTCGCGAGATTCCTGCTGATATCAGTCTGACCTGACTCAGATGTGTAACCTAAACCTATATCTTATACTAATAAGTGTTGAGGTTGCTTAAAGCACATCATAATAAACATTGATATCAAATTAAAAGTAAACTGAGAAGAAAATAGCTTAATTGAGTAACATGGATAAATCAATCAAGGAATAGACCAGTTTTAGCGCATTTGTAACTTTGTTTAATTTGAAAGGAAATCGTGAATGCTCTGAATTAATTTGTCCATCCAGCAATGTGGGCTTTAGTCCTTCTATATATTTACACTAATGAATAAAGATCTTAGCCCACAGAATCAAGTTGTATAAAAGAAATTCCATGTTTTTATCTTTCAGAAATAACCCAACTTTAATGAAAGAGTAAAAGGGAGAAAATAAAGTCCAAAACTTAGATGAAACATAAATAATTAAAAACAAAAATTTCTGTTGTTTCGATTCCCTTTTTCACATAATCAACACAAGCTATTCTTCTGGTTTAATTTTCCGTGTAAAGTTATTTGATAAGATATAAAGGATTTTAAATTATATTTCTTTTGCTTTAGGAAAACTTGGCACTTTGAATATATTTTCCTTATTTCTTTGTCTGTTTCTGACCCACACCTCACCAGTTCCTACTAATGTGGTATAAATCAGCTGATCCTGTTCTGGACCCATAAAGTCTTAATGAACACGTGATTTTGGCTTGAAAAACAGAGTCACGTGACCTGCTGCAGTCACATGACCTGCAGTGATCAGAGGCACTGCTGCGCGCGGACAGGTGGGCTCTGAAAGGTAAGTCTTTACTGGGTCAGGGTTCTGTTCCCAGCTGTGTTCCGGTATGTTTAGCTGTTGTTAACTAATCCTGGACCTTATCGCAGAGTCTCAGCCGCTCCTGGCCTGGTTCTGAGGCTCTCAGGGTGTTTCCGGGTAACTCGTGTTTCTTTCTGTTCTCTATCAGGACGCCTTCAGTTCAGTCAGACCGGTTCTATCAATGTTCTGACAATCCTAAACTGAAGGGTTTATTGCCGGTTCCACTTCTGACCAAATATCTGTTTATTTGTCACAGAGTTAAAGTTAAAGCTAAAGTTTCCCTCTTAAAAAAAAACCAAAAAAACATCTAGTTATTCTGAAGCGAACATATCACGTGACCAAATAGTCTACGGTAATTTCCCCCTGAAGGAAAGCCGTGTTGGCACCGCCCCCTAGCGGTCCGTTTGGGATCAGCAGAGAACCAGCTGGAGGTCTTTATTGCAGGGGCCTTCAACGTTTTCCAGGCCAAGGACCCCCAAACCGATGACCCCCTAATGATATATATTGCATGAAATTGTGTTATATCAAACTAGTCCTATAGTCACTCTATTAAATATGGAGTAATGTAACAAAAGTAATTTCTCCCTGGGATTATTAAAGTATTTCTGATTCTGGTTCCTCATTGATAGGACAGGTGTTGTGAATGAAACGGTGCCCAGCCTGATAGAGCTCCTATGTGTCGCTGAATGTGTGCATTGATGACTGAAAGACACCTTCTGCCCCCATTAATCTGTTTACTTCAGTGTGTTGAATTCATGTTAATGTGAATTTTATTGTCCCACAATGGGGAAATTCACCCTCTGCATTTAAACCATCCCCTTGGGAAGTAGTGGGCTGCCATTGTGTGGCACCCAGAGAGCAGTCTGGAGTTAAGCATCTTGCTCAGGAACCCAGAGAGGTGGGAGTGAGTGGGATTTAACTCAGAACCTCCAGTACCTAAGCTCAATGCTCTAACTGCTAGGCAACCATTTCCCCAAGGTGGTAAAGGCAACTCAGCCCCTGATTCAGCTGTGGGGGCAAAGCCCTCTGGTTCTGAAGGAAACTGCTGGAGATGAACTCTGTTCCGTCTTGTCAGCAATAAAGCTGTAATAAAACAATGCTGTGAAGGCAAGGAGCAATTTTAGGACTCCAGAGCAACAAGGGCAATTTCCCTTAACTTAACGCCTCATTAAAGCCTGTGGCACTGGTCTGTTTACCATTACAAAACTTTTATCTAGAAATATTCAAACCTTTGCCAAGGAGGACGTCCTACCCTGTTAAAGTCTAACTATTGATCACATGTTGCCACGTTCAGCCTCTGATTGGTTTAAGAGAAACGCTTTTTCGCAGAGAAGTTGTCTGCTCAACCAATCGAAGGAGCATCTCGCTGACAGGTGGCTTCCTCATGAATAAACTCAGAACCACCATCAACTTTTAGAACCAGAACCAAATCTCCAACTAGGGTTTCAGACATCAGAACATAAAAAGCGTCATTTTTAATGGCTTCCCACAGTCTGATGCCTGAGAAAAGTTTTTGGAGTGATTCAATAGCGCCAACAGGGGGCGGCATATATTCTCTAGTTTTTTAAATGTGTCTGCTAGAACCTCATCATCCTCTCAGCTGCTCTTCCTCGTTCCTTTTATCGGCCTCTCATCTGGCCGATGTTCTGGCTCACCTGGGCAAGTCTAACTGGATATGAGTTTACATGAGAATGGAAACGGTACTCCCGATTGTCAAAGTAAAAGGAAAGGATGTGGTGGAGAGGCGTGCTGCTGTTTCCAGCACTGTTTAGTTAGGGATCACATGACCAGCTCTAAAAGATATCTTGTAAAGATCTTTGATAGAAGCAAGTTCAGCTTTAGTCGTCATTTCTGGCTTGTTTCTCCTGCAGATGCCGGCGTTCCTGTGGTTCTTCCTGACCTTCCTGCTTGGAGCTGGTGCTGCTCCGGCTGAAGATGAAATTACCTTCCTTCCTGGTCTCCAGAAGCAGCCGAGCTTCAAGCAGTATTCTGGCTATCTGAACCTGCCTGATGGGAAACACCTTCACTATTGGTCAGTGCTGATGCTCAGCTCCCGCACCTCACCTGGCTGATGCTGCCTTACCTAAACCTGCTCTGACTCTCAGGTTTGTGGAGTCCCAGAACAAACCATCGTCCGACCCAGTGGTCCTGTGGCTGAACGGCGGTCCTGGCTGTAGCTCCTTGGATGGACTGCTCACTGAACATGGACCGTTCCTGGTAGGTAACGCCAGATCCCGACTGTCTCACCTGTAGAACTCATTCGGTGTGCACTGTCTGACATCCGCCCTCCTCTTCAGATCCAGGATGACGGAGTGACGCTGCAGTACAACCCCTACTCTTGGAATAAGGTAGGTCATGTGACTGTGGGATGTAGTTATTTTAACAGAGTCCTGAAAACTGATTTTTTTTTTTCATTGCTCACCTGCAGATTGCCAACATGTTGTACCTGGAGTCTCCAGTTGGTGTCGGTTTCTCGTATTCTGACGATAAGAAATACGCAACCAACGACAGTGAGGTCAGTGACTCATCTCCAAGGCTGGTTGTGGTTGGTTGTCAGGTGTGTCAGATGTTCTGCGTCTGCAGGTGTCCATGAACAACTACCTGGCTCTGAAGGAGTTCTTCCGGCTGTTTCCAGAGTTCAACAACAGGGAACTCTTCCTGACTGGAGAAAGTTACGGAGGGATCTACATCCCCACGCTCGCTGAGAGGGTGATGGAGGACTCCAGCCTGAACCTGCAGGTTCTCCTCACCTCCTGACCAGTTCTGCTGCTGTTGAAATCACCCCCACCTGTGTGTGATGCATTGTGCTCTTGTGCTGCAGGGTATTGCCGTTGGAAACGGGTTGGCAAGCTACGAACTTAACGATAACTCCCTGGTGTACTTTGCCTACTATCACGGCCTGCTGGGCAGCAAGCTGTGGGCGGACCTTCAGATGTTCTGCTGCAGCAGCGGGAAATGTGACTTCTATAACAGCAAGAACCCCAACTGCACCGAAAGCGTGAGTCTGAACTTCTGCTTTTTCTCAGAGTAGCTTTGCCTCATCTGTTCCTGTTTGGCTGTGACACCACCCTGGAGAGAAATATCAGCTGTGCTGCTGCCATCAACACTTTTGTTTATAGATATTGGAGCTTGGCCTGTTTTTCAGTGTAGTCCTGTTTCTGACTGTGGCTGGATGTGCTCTCTTCATCCTCTGACATGGGAGCTGGCTCAGAGCTCGTCTGTCTGGCTGTGTGTTTCCTGGAAGGGGCTGCCTTCTTTCTCCTTGAACCCCAGTCGGCCTCAGCAGATGGCCGCTCACACTGAGCCTGGTTCTGCTGGAGGTTTCTTCCTGCTTAAAGGGAGTTTTTCCTCTCCACTGTCGCTACAAGCAAGCTTGGTGTGAGGGATTGCCTTTGTGTCGATGCAATCAACTGGTTTTTCCTTAGAACTTTGAATCAATTTGACTGTATGACCTGGTGAACTGTGAGGTGCCTTGAGATGATATGTGTTGTGAATTGCCGCTATATAGATAAAGTGAATTAAACCAAGCTGACCCAGATGTTTGACAAAGGTGTCATCTCTCTGTCTCTTAGCTGGCAGACGTCACAGAAATCGTCTACAGTTCAGGACTCAACATTTACAACCTGTACGCTCCCTGTGCTGGTGGAGTCCCTCATAGACTCAGGTGAGCTGGTTTAATTCACCCAGGTGTATTCTGGATGTTCAGCCCGGTGAACCTTAGATGGCTTCTGGGTTTTCAGTGTGGAAAGCGGACAGCTGGTGATCCGAGATCTGGGGAACAACTTCATCAACCATCAGTGGACTCGGCAATGGAACCAGGTTTGCATAAACTCACCTGCTCTCTGTTGGAGGCCAACTCACCTGCTCACTGCTCCTCTTCCTCTCTGATTGCAGAAGTTACTTGGTCTGGCATCTCTGCACCTCTCCGTCCGTCTGGACCCACCATGCACCAACTCCACCCCTTCCAGCCTCTACCTGAACAACCAATATGTGCGGAAAGCTCTGCACATCAGCCCAGATGCACTGGATTGGGCTGTCTGCAGGTAATGATCTCGCCTGTCTCTTAGGGACATGTCCCCCCCGTCATTTTTCTGACCCGTTTTGTCTGGTGTTGCAGTTCCGAAGTAAACTTGAATTATGGGCGGCTCTACATGGATGTTAAGAAGCAGTACCTGAAACTTCTTTCAGCTCTGGTCAGTGAACGCACCGCAGCACCTGTAACTTCCTGTTTTTTATCAAAACATTATTGAGAATCATTTAGCTGTTGCAGTTTCTACCCACTGGATCACCTCGAACCTCCTGTGTTAACAGGAAGTCAAATTTCTGTAGGAAGTTTTGTCTGCAATGTGCTCAGTTGTCATGTCCGATATGTGTTGTGCTTCTTGCAGAAGTACCGGATCCTGGTATACAACGGAGATGTGGACATGGCCTGTAACTTCATGGGTGATGAGTGGTTTGTGGAGTCTCTGCAGCAGCAGGTAACGGTCATCATTTAACTCTGGGACTGGAAGTATAAATCAAAAAAAAGCTGAGAAGCAAATCTTGACAGATCAGCTTGCACTAATCCACCTTTATTTTTTTATATACTAAAATGATATGCCTATACCAAAATAACCTAATTCTAATTTATTATGATGAAATAAGGCTATATACTACAGCCGTCTGTTCTGATGGTGTTTTGATGATCCTTTTTGAGCCTAAATAAAACCTCAGCACTGGGTGTGATGAGTTGAATTAACCAGACATGGCGCCATCTACTGGCAGTGCTGCTGAACTACCAGAAGGCAGGTGGTGGCCATTAGTGCAGCTGCTAAATAAATAACGACTGTACCAATGCCGACAGCTTGAAGGACGGGGCTTAAATGTGCTGCTAATACCTGTAGCACAGCTAGCAAGGATGTGAATTTGTGTGTCTATCAACTTCGCTGCGACATCAGAATGCTTCCTGAGCTTAAGCGTTCTCCAGTAGCTCAAAGGCTGGTCTTTTTTTTTTTTTTTTTTTTTTTTTTTTTTTTTTTTATGAAAGCCGTTTTTTTACACTCATTGCTTTGGCTTGTTGACCAGTTCTTTGCATGTGCGGTAACCTAATCCTGGTCACATGATGTTTTTTTTGTAAATATCCACAGAGAGGCTATTGACTAACAAATTGAGCCAAAAAAAAGCTTAAAAGACAAAAAAACTACGCCAGCAGCAGGCTGTAATTCTTCAGTAAAAATATGTAACAAGCCTGAGTTACAGGTGAATACATTTAGTCAAATAACAGTTATATGTAACTTTGAAACCACTTTTATTTGAATCTGTACAGTGAAGATAAAACACATCTGGCCTCATAACGTAACACCTATTGACATGATAGAAACAAAAAATGTACAACAAGATGCATATTTCTTATCTAAGAGACTCTTTACTTCTCACAGGTAATAATAATAATTATCTTTAAGATCAGCAGTTTAGTTCCTCACTAGTCGGCTATATAGATCCCTCAGCTGTGGACAATCCCTTGTCTCCAAGTGTAATAAGTGTGCATTCTTGCTGCTATTGGGGCCCACATGTGAAAGAACTTGGTTTGGAGAGTAGAAAACCTTTTTCACTTTAAATATATAACATATCTCACTAAAATATAGAGGTATGTTGGTTGGTCAAACTCGTTTGTTAGGAGCAGATTTTTAGCAGGCTCTGCGTGATAAATGGATTTTTTTCTGAATTGTTTTAAAGATTCTATGTCTTTCTTTAGTGCCTGATGGCGCCGTTGTCATGGTTATTTGATAACCTGGTGTGAAACCTCTGGGTGTTTATAGTAGATTAGTCTTTAAGGTTGGTTACCCTGTGTGTTTCAGGTGGAGGTCCAGAGGCGTCCATGGATCTATGAAGGTCAAGATGGTCGTCAGATTGGAGGCTTCGTCAAAGAATTTAGCAACCTGGCCTTCCTCACTGTAAAGGTAAATCATCATCGTGGATGCTGAGATATTTCTTTTTAACTTTTTTTGCATTAGTGATTGGTTTGTTTGGTTCTGCAGGGTTCTGGTCACATGGTTCCATCGGATAAACCTGTTGCTGCCTTCGCCATGTTCACGAGGTTCATCAAGAAGCAGCCGTACTGACCGGAGCACCGTTTGCACTTTCTCAGCTGACAAACTCTCAGGATGTTGTCTTTGTTTTTTTTTTTAAATGTTTTTTCTTTTTACATGACTGCCAGCCAATCAGAATGGCTCTCTGTAAAGTGTCTATAGAAAATTAACTAATCAAGCAGCTCCTGTGTTAGCTCCACCCATATCACCATGGAAACGAGCACTGCCTGTTGATTTAATGAGTGTTGAATGCAGGTTCAAAAGAAAACTAAATAAACCTTTTTGTTTTTTTTTATCTAGAACCTTGGTTGTGTTTTTATTTCCATACAGCAGGCTGCAGAGGCCAAGTCATCTGTCAGTGTGCTGACACTCCTGTTGTTCTGCTGTTAGAACCACAGGAAATCTCAGTACCTTTCCCCACAGCTTACAGGGTTATTCATAAACCCAGAGAAGGCAGACTGCTGGGTTATACCACTGGAGATGTGGTTAAATTACCCTGAATCCAGGATTTTTCCTGCTGGAAACTTAATAAACAGCAGCTGGTGGTTAACCTCCTTCTAGCTACCAAACATTACAGCAGATGGTTCAGGCGCTTCTGTCTGAAGCATCCCTCTCATTCACCTGAACAGCTGTCTGTGAGCCTGGGTTAAATTTGCCTGCAAACACCTGCTGCTTTTCCGAACTGGTACTGAAGTTTGGGTTCTACCTCAGGAGAAGGCGGAGCAGCTAGTTGGAACAACCTGCTGCCAGGATCTGACCTGGATAAACAGGAAGGTTTGCAGTAATTGCAAACTGCAGGTGTATGGGGGTCTGTTTCTCTCAGCCGGGGGTATCTGTTCAGAGGGACCAACCAGCAGATAAAGACCTTTGTTGACTGTAAACATGTTGCTGTTCACCTGCAGCCTGTCAGTCAGTGCTTAGGGAACAACACAGTACACAGGAAGGAGCTTTAACCTTCACAGGTAGATTCTACAGACTGACCCAGTCTGATTTTTAAGGACAGCACAGCGACTCACCTGTGCAGGTAAGATTTGTTCTGCAGCCTCTTAAACTTCCTTCAGATCACCTTTAGATCAATGTTCTTGTTTGGGATGCAGTATTGGGTCTAAAGCGCTGATCTTGAACCAGAGAAATATACATAAGGTTCTTTTGGTTCCACCTCATGCAGATGGGTCTGTTTAGAGCTGACTTCCTGCATCTACAATACTCTGAATGCTACCATAGTATTGGGATCTCTGGCTAGAGGCAGGATAAGCAAAGGTGTGAAGTGGGTCCATGCAGGCACACTGAGATGTTTAGGTCTTTTTTTTTATAGTCCCACCTGCCTTCAACGTATGCCAGTAAATATGCTATTATTTCATGATATTATCAAACATCATTACAGCACATATGAAGCATTTAGTCATAAAGGTATCATTTTAAGTCGCACTCTTTCTCTTTGTCTGCCCAGCTTGCTCGGTTTACCAGACACCTACTGCCCTGTTGGTACTAGAATGTGTTTTTACAGTGAGAAAAGTTGAATTGACATGTTAGAAACGCTGCTGCTTAGAAAAGAAAAGGGGGAAAATTTGCCCCAGTTATATTGAATGCAAAGAACATCTTTCTTACAACAGATTTTTAAAACATATCAATCAAAACTAGGTTTTGAGGGTAATTTATACTTTTTCATAAAAATTTTTAAAATATACTTTTAGAGTTTGCTATTTTTTTTTTTTTCTAATTTAGTTTTACAAATGTAATTTTTTCAAAACTGAATTTTTTTCCAATTATTTATTTTTTGGAGGGGAGACTGAGTTTTACGAATTGCGTCCTTTTCGAATCCTATTACTCAAATTTAACCCTCTACCCTTCTGGGCTGAGTGTGTGTGAGAGAGAGAGAGAGAGAGAGAGAGAGAGAGAGAGAGTGGGGGGGCATAAACAATCCTGTTGCTAATGTCTACACAGCAGATTTGGTTATTGGTTTACAAACAAAAAACAGAAGTTCAGAGGGGGGAAATCTGTAAAAATGATTGAAAATAATTAAATTTAATTAAATTATATAAAATCGGAAAATATAGCAAACTAAAAATATTGATTGAAATTTTGAACTGCATTTTATCAAAATTTCTGTATTTGTATAATTTTTTTTTATAATATTGGAACAAATTTCTCTCCATACTGAATGAAAAAAACATAATTAGATGTGTGAAAGTAAATACATATTTTGTCTCTAGTTCAATAAACTGGAGTAGAAAGTGAAGAGACGATAATACTACATACAGCGAGCTGATTATTTGCTACATCTAGTTAACTTTGGAGGATATCAGAGAAAACATCTCTAATTATATAAATCTCAGCAATATTTATCATCACTGACTACAACCTTGGGGAGTTTGAATTTCCTTTCCAGGCCAGTTAAATTTGCATAATGAGTTCTTTGATAATTAGTAATATGAGTATAATATTGGATGAGGTTAAAAAATAAAACATAAAACAGCTCAAACTTGAAATGTCTGCAAAATATCAGCACTTCACATCCTTCTGAGCTTTTAAACCCCAAAAAGACGCTTCAGCCTATGCTATATCAGAGCATTATCATATTAAACATCTAAATCTACATCTAGTATTAAAATAAGGCATCAATCTAATATTGAAATTGTCAATTGAAATGCTTACATTGTAGTATTGATATGTATATTAAGTTAGTTTACCTCAGTTTGCTCCTGCTTTTTGGGTTACAGTCTGCCCTGTATTGGCCCGGCATGGCTTATTATTAGTAATACTTATTCTTTATTTTCATTTATTTATTTTTTTTTTTTTTTCCACAAAAAAACATAAAAACAGAGTAATATTTTACTAAAAAAGAAAATGTGATGGACAACTGCCGAAAAACCCTCAAGGGGCTTAATGAGTGGCAGTCTCCATAAAAACAAAAATATTTCACCATTTCAGACATCTATGATATGATAATGTGTAAAAAAACAACAACAAACAAACAAAAACAAAAAAACAACAGCATTTCTTTGTATAAAACAATTTAAAATATCATTTAGACCACAAATCCATATGGAAAGTTCAGACAACTTAGTAGCAGCAATTTTACTCTCCGTTTAAATTGTTCTTTAGCAAGATCTGTCAGTGATGTGGGAAGACTGTTCCATATCCTTGATCCTCTGTATAATACTACTACTACTACTACTACTACTAATGCTTATATTTATCATCTCTCTCAGACATGCTTTTTAAATATTCAAGATCTCATCTTCAAAACCCGGGTCACTCCAGTGATGTTCTGTCAGTCAATCCTATACCCTCTACCTCAGCTGCCTAGTGGCACTTTAACAACCAGGACTTAATAAAGAGAAGTTAGACTCATATTTGCCTTTTATTTTATTTTTTTATATTTTACTGCATCTTCCATGGATCTGTATTTTCCCATGTGTTGTACAACAATGCTGCATGTTGAATTATATGCTGAGGTTTACATATAATACTTAGTTGGGGGTTTGGGGAATTTTGCCACTCCATAATTTTACGTAGGGCGCAGAAATAGCTAGGGCCAGATCTGGGTTCTTCAGTACTCTGAATACCACAGTTAATACAGTTTGTTGGCATCTCTCAGTAACTGAGGGGTTAATGAGGATGTGCAGTCTGCATAATCATCTGTCATCCATGGTGCAGACACGGCTCACCTGCAGTTTTCCCCTATCAAGCAAGTCTGTGGGTTGCAGTGGTGAGTTCACCTGTTTCAGGTGTTATTAATACAGAACTATGAGGCTTTTTGATGCCTCACAGACTGATGGATTCTCTTGTTAGACTCTGTTAATCCAGGAAGCAAGAACTTTGACCAGAATAGGAACCAACCAAATATACTGCCTACAGAACCCCCACCCACAAAGTACAAAAAGCTCAGAAACTTCAGGTCCACATTGTTTCTTCTGCTCCACTAATGTTGAACAAACTTCTAAAGGACTAAAAGTGCTGAAACTTTAGACTTTATTTGGTCAAATCAAGGTAGAAAGTCTGTTTTGTTCAGAGTGGCCTTCGACTAATCGACTCAAACTCAAACATCTTAAGTTTATGTTTGTAGCCGAGCTTTCTCCTGTGTGACTGTTCCACTGCGCTGGATTTTCCACTGCTTTTTCTTTGATTTGTATTGTTACTACAGTGTTTTATGCAAATAAGTTTGCGTGGCCTTGGAAATATGTCTTCAGTTTCACACAAAAGTCACAGGATGTGATGTTTGACTTAAAATCATTCATTTACTCTTAGTAAAGGATTCATTGTGTCTCTCAGTAAATCTTTCATTGTGACAGAATCCTGGAGGGTTAGCTGGGCTGCTGCTGTCAACAGATAAACTTAGAGTGGGAACTTTTTTATTTTTAGTGTTTAGTCCTGTTTCTATCTTAGATATAGCTACTGGATCAGCTTTTACTGTGCTCACTGCCTGGCTCTGCTGAAGGGTTTCTTCCTGTTAAAAGAATGTTTTTCTCTCTAAACTGTGACTGTTTGTGTTCTCATTGGGAGAGATTATTGTAGAGTCAACGACAAAATGCAAGCAAATGTTTACTGTCATGTTTATCGAGGAAGAGCGAGTCTTGCTAAGTCAAAGACTAAATTCAATCGGCATAAATCTGTGTGGATGATTTGATTGTATTGTCTCTGAGAATGCATTAGGAGTCAAGTAAATTTAATTTAATGATCTGACCTTCCTCTTATTCACAGGTCTGTTCCAGGTGAGCTGTGATTGGCTGGCAATGGACAAATCTCTGAAGGGTCATGTGAGCGTGCTCACCTGCTTCCCGTCTTCTGTGGGCAGAGATGTTGCTGTTGCTGTGGTGAAGCCCCTGGCTGCAGGCCTTGGAAACCCCGGCACCCGCAGCCTTCTGCGTACTGACCGACAGGTAAACTCTTATGTGTACCTGAACGGTGGGAGGGGCTTAGCGGGTCTGCATCTGAGCTCAAACCTGGCTGGTCTCACCTGAGAACCCGAATCATCAGACTATCGCTGGTCGGTGATCAATCAGGACTGATCTTTATCTGTCAGGTGGTTTGGAGATGTCTCTTCTTGTTTATCTTCAGGTGAAATGGACCATGGAGGTCCTGTGTTATGGTCTCACTCTGCCACTGGACAGAGACATTGTCAGACTCTGTGTTGATGTTTACACTGATTGGATGATGGCGCTAGTATCCCAGCGAAGCTCCACCCCTCCACCGATTAGCAGAGACCCCAACCTGTACGTCCAGAAGATCCTTCGACATCTCCATGTGCTCTTCCTGCCCAGGTACCCACATCCCATCTTAAACCAGACCTGAATCTAGACTGCACTGTAGACCCAAAGCCAAATCCAGAATTAATTCATGAGCTCAGTCCTTTGTTCCAGTTCTGTGTCCTGAAGGTCATCCTGAATCCAGACCTGAAGGCTAAGACCTAAATCCAAACAAAACCCCTTTTTTTCTTGTCTTAGGTCAGACCAGGTTGGTCCGGTCTACCTGTCGTTGTGTAAGCAGGTGCTTTGTTCTGTTCAGTCTCTGGCTAGAGTGAGTTCACTGATGAGCAAAGAGACCTGGGAGACTCTTTTACACTTTCTGCTGCGCATCAACCACGCCATGCTGGCTCCGCCTACTTCTGCAGGTGAGACGAAGTACCAGCTAGCTGTATCAGATTGTTGGTTATTACGTCTGTCCGTCATGCTGTCCGTCTCTCCTGCGTACAGGAAGCGTGTCGGATCAGTCCATGGCGGTTCTCCTGGAGGTGTGGCTGCTGGCATGTTCTCGGTGTTTCCCATCCCGCTCTTTGTGGACAGCATGCAGACAGATGGTTAGCAGCTGCAGACACCAGCCTGCAGTGGTGGAGCAGTGGAGTAGAGCTGTTGCAGCTCTGACCTCCAGGTTCATTTCCATCCTCAGGGTCTAACTGGTTATGTTATTAAGGAGACGTTGCTGGTTTATTGTTGGTTCTGTATCTGAATCATTAACTGGTTCTGTACCATTCTGTCCTCAGGCTCCTTCCTCAGATATATGGACCCTCCTTTCCTCTCTTCCATGTTCCAGAGGAAGATGCAGCTCTGGTTCCTACAGACATGGAGGATAAGCATCTCTCTCATACCTGGTTTCAGTTCCTGCACATGTTCAGGTAACTGGTTCCAGTTCTTGCACATAATCTGGTAACAGTTTCATGTTTCTAACTCCTTCTGTAACACTGATAAATCTCATGTTTCTTGCAGTAATCCTGTGGACCTCATTTCCCCTTCAGCCACTTCCTCTACGTCCTCCTCCCAGGATGAGGCGTCTGAGAAGGGAGACCATCAACTACCAGGAATCTTCTTTAGAGCCATGAGACTAGTCGCTGAACTAGTCAATGCCTTCCTTGGTAAGCTACCACCAAAGGTTGAAGTGCCTTCTTTCTCCTTCAAACAAGAGAGGCAGATGTTCAGTTATTCCTTTGAGGAATTTGACTTCATTTACGAACTTTAATGCCAAACATCTTCACGGGTCTAGTCTGTTTGTTCTTATTCTGTACACACATCAGTGTAAGATTTTTATTGCCTTAGATGATTTTCAAACCACATCTTACATTGTTCTAAAGAGCAGATTCACATAGACCCATCCTCCAAGATGAAGAGGATGATCTAAGAGTTGGAGGTAGGGTGATCTGGGAATGATTTTCACTTGTTTCTGCAGGTGTGACTATTAGGAGCTCAGAGGAAGCGGATCATCTGCTGTCAAACAGAGGTAGACTCATATTAACTTAACGATTCTGTAGAAATAAAAGCGTACAAATTCAAGAGCTGCATCCTTCGAATAAACAGGACTGCGTATGCCTGGTCTTTCAGAACCATGAATGATTGGACTGTCTTGCCTTTATAAACTGTTTCTGCACTTACCTCAGCATAAAGGCGGCTGCCTAACAGCAGTGACAACATGGACAGAGTTGTGAAGCTGTAAAAATAAAGCACATACCCTTTTTTGTTTTTTATTGATTGTTAAATGAACTCCAGTTGTAAAACTGTAATCACTGGCATGTGTTCAGATAATATTTTATTTCCTCATATACTATTTTTGATTTAATAATAAAACTATGCAAGTAAAATTATAAATAATCATTTTATACTCAGGAAAGGTTTTTGGAAAAAACAGGGATGCACTTAGGAGGCCACTAAGTATTTCTGTGAGGGATTATGTTGCATGGTTTCTCATTTCTCTCAATATCTCTGCAAATAGATGCAATACACCCACCACTGTCTAAAACCATGCTGACAAGCTGATCTCTCATCAGAACTTGATTAGTGATCCAAATCTGAATCTGCATAATGGTGCTGATCCATAGTTTTTGCTGAAAGCAATAGTTGTCTTTAAGATGGAACATAACTTAGTACATTTACTTGATTACTTGATATTGTACTTTGCACGCCACTAAATTTCTAGGAAGTTGCTGGTTATTTGTTCCTTTTAGCTCAGTTTATCTTTGTAATCCTCTGCTGCTGTTTTTCTTTTTGAAATGCAATTCAACATGGCAGATAGCAGCCCTTAGGACTGAATGTTGACATCATTGTTTAAAGATTTGCATGACATTCCACGAATGTGAGAAACTCAGAGCAGGTATTATTTGTAATTTATACATTTTTTAAGGCGTTAGTTGTTCCCATGTGGCCAAGTTGTTCAGTAGGATGAATTCCCAAAGCAGTTACAGTTTCTTTGTGGTAATAGATTCAACCATAAACCTCTATTCCATAGTGATAGTGTGAGTAGAATCAAGACACTCCTGTTTTCTTTTTGGTTTATTTTTAAATAAGAAATAATGTCTATGCTGAAGTTGCTGTGAAGATTCTCAGTTATCCAGGTAATAGTCATTTCAAGTTCTACTGAAGTTCTTCACAAGTTCTCCACAATTTCTTGTGGTCTGAAATATACTGATATTAGACCATTTATTTTGTATTTTTCTGAAAATTTCGGTACTTTTCAATGCATGTTCTTTGCAAGCAACAACATGCCATAGAGGGTTAAGTATTATCAAAAGTGAGTGCTTCAAAACTTTAACTTGAGTAGATGTTTGACCGAGTAACCTTTTCTTGTAGTTAGGATTAGACTATGAGTATCAGTACTTTTTTCTCAAGTAGCTAAAAGGGAGTGAAGGGCCAGAGGCTCATTGCTGCTGCAAGAGAACATCTGTGTCTGTCCTCACAGAGCACAGCAGTCTGCGGCCAGATCGGAGTTAATGGTAGAAAATTGTGGTAGTTCTTTAATCCTGGAGCATGAGGGGCATGACTAGGGAAGATGATCTCAGGTTTTTTACATTTTTAAGAAAAGTCTGGGGCAATGTAGAGAGAATATGATTCTGTTGGTCTTCAGTATGATAAAAATATTTATCTTAAAGAGCAAC